CTGCTGCCATTTAAACAGATCCAACAGGTTCTCAACACCCCAAGACGCCCAGACTACTAATCAAACAGCATGGTTAGCCAAAAAGAGCATTTAAATCCATCAATTCATAAAATCTGGAACATCCTGGAGGGCAATGCTCAAAGGCCAAAAGGGAATAAGTGGGAACAGCTGCAGAGTAATTGATTTCTGAAACCTCTGCTTAGCAGACTAAATAGGACGGGTTAGTGTTTAAGTTTACTGCAGTTGATGAGAAATTAAAACACATTCATATGCAGTATTAAGCAACATGCGACTGAGAGGGAATGTGCCAAAACTGGCAAAAACCAATATGGTGCAAGTTCAGTTTTCACTGACAAATAACAGAAAAATATGTGGTGAAAACATGTTTTAAATAAACAATTCGGCCAAAAATGATAACTTAATCATCCTCATTTTGTTGCACATCTATACGACTTTCCATAAAACACAAAATGAGAAATCAGAAAAATGTCCTGTTTGCGATAATAATAAATAATGATGAAAAGAATACAACATAACAAAAAGATTCAAAAGACTTGGAACAAAGTGTATGAATTTTATGGACCACCTTTACGATATATGAGTTTTTTTCAGCATTTTGTCCTTTTTGATGTATAGAAATGTCCAGTCCCTATTTACTGTAATTGCACAGAAAACAACTACAACAAAAACATTCTCCTTTTGCATTCCAAGGATGAAAGTAAAGTAATATGAGATTGGTAAATCATGACAATCCCTTTTATGGATTGATATTCGGGACAATATTCAAAAGGAATTGCAATTACAAATCTCACATTTGTGTTTCGATTTTCTTTTTGGTATATGTAATATGTGTGCCAAATTTTAAATGGAAACGCAAAGTCCATTTGCAGTTGCATTTCTAATGTCTTACGATTTGTGATTCTGTCTTTTTGGAATAGCAATAGAAAATCGCCCATTTGCTATTTCACTTTCTCCATGTCATGCTCTAACCCTCACAAAATTCAAATGGAATCGCAATCCCCTTTGCACTTGCATTTCCAATGCCTAACACAGTCAGCTGTCAATCAGTCTTGAGGGTAGGGTTTATTGATACAGTGGGTAAGTATGCCACATCTGCTACTGATGGAAAACAAAGCATCGTTATTCATTCCTTTGAGGAAAATGGGGAATTTGGCCATTTTTGCAATAAAAACATGCCCATTTATTTATTTATTTGATTGTTTGTTTGTTTGCTTGCTTGCTTACTTCACTTCAAACAATTACCTTCACTTCAAATGGACTTTGCGTTTCCATTTAAAATTTGGCAGACATATTACATCAAAAAGAAAATCGAAACACAAATGCGAGATTTGCAGTTGCGTTTGGATTATGTCACAATGTATGCGTCCACAAGTTGAAAACACAATTGCAAATACAATTTGCAATTCTTTTTGAATCTTGTCTGGAATATCATTCCATACCCTTAAATAGCCAAACAAGAGATAAAAATGGATCAGTTCAGCACACTACACATTATTTATGAATGCTGCATGCTACAGATCAAACAAATATTATTATTCCAGAATCATATTTAAAAGAAATGCAGCATTTACCTGGCCATTCCCAGACTGGAGAACCCTGAGGGAACAATGAGCACATCTAGACGTGAGAATGGATGGACACCAAGAATAGAGTGGGTCGCAGTCAGACAGAGAGGCAGTAAGTGTAAAACCATGTCATTTGCCTTCTGCAGGTGGCAGGGTGGGGCAAATACCCGGTGAGGAATAACAGTCTGAGCCCTGGCAGCACTGACCATGAAGCAACAGGGATAATCCACGTTGGCACAAACATATTGCTGATCATCGTTGTCCAAAGAAAGACTGCAATAAAGAGAAAGATGCAAATATTCAAGCAGAGTACCCTATAAACAAACTTTTAGGCTTTGATTCAGTGTACAGTAAATAAAATACTGCACCGAAGATGTCATGTCTAGTTTTCTGTCAACTGCACATAAGAAATAACACAGTATTAACGTGTCCTGTAAAGATGGCTATTCAAAGTTACATATATACGTATGCAAGAAACCAAAGACAAATCACAATTTAGTAGACAAACATGTGAGAAAGAAGACCAATAGCAATGCAATATGCAAATATCGTGATGACTGTCAGTTAAATATGTAACATTTTATCAGTATCACTAAATATATCATCATCAAGCATGTTTTGGAAAGATTTGAGCTGAACATTTCATACACCTGTGAATCTTATAGACTGGAAAAAGAAAGAATTATATTTTAATTTTGCACAATGCTGCATTTGCTTTATCATTGTATTTACTCAAGATTATTTTGGAAGGATTTATTAACAGAAAATCTGGGTGTATGATAAACATTTCTGCATTTTATGTGATTTTTTTCTCAGAAAGACATCTTGGAATGAAAAAGCAATATTCTATGCAATCACCATATAATTGCGCTCTTTGCAAACCAAATTTCGTACATGTTATAAAAGCACCGAAATGTACATAACTTTTTGTCTGGTAGCTAAAGTTGTTAATAATTGGACAATGCAATACCTCTTGTTCTTGTGACATTGAATAAAAAAATCTATTACATTAGGATATTTTCAAATCTGTAAAAAAAAAAGAAAAAAAAAGAAATAACTGTAAAAAAATAAAATTGTAAAATATGCCAAAATAAAATGAATAATACACAAGTTCTCCAAAAACTACAAATGTTTCAATTGAGTCTGAAAAGTCAACACTTATTACATTAGGATATTTTCAAATCTGTAAAAAAAAAAGAAAAAAAAAGAAATAACTGTAAAAAAAAATAAAATTGTAAAATATGCCAAAATAAAATGAATAATACACAAGTTCTCCAAAAACTACAAATGTTTCAATTGAGTCTGAAAAGTCAACACTTACCTAAATTGACATTTTCGTCATAACAAGATACCTGGGTTCTTTGTCATAAGGTTCATTTGTTTTTTCCACCTCAAAGTTGGGATCTTTTACTCCAGCCTCTAACCATTGTCCCACAGCTATGGTAAAGGTAAAGGCTGTCATTGGCATTGTAACATAATAATCCCATTGCAGAAAACCTGAACGGAGTAAAGAAAAGACTTCAGCATTTTCCATAATAAAATTAGTGCATTAAATTACACATCTGTGATTCTGAACTGCTGAGTAAGGGTTTTAACTGTACCCGTCTCCGCAGGCTTAGGAAAGGCTTGATTTTCACCACTGGTTAGGACAGTGTAATCACACGGAGCTCTTACACGTGCTTGCCATGTTGACATGGCAACAGGTGGCTCCTGGCACGGGAAGAGGGCTCTGTTGTTGATAGGCGAGCCCATGGTATACACACAGCATCTAAAAGATAAAGTTGTGGCATCACAGCATATCCTAGATATGGTAGTGAGTTTGACAGGGTAAAAATATCGACTTTCCATCTATATTAATTTGAACTCTTTCATCTGGAAAAATATGGATTCTTAAAATGCCAATGTCGACATTTTACTCTATGCCAGCATTTCCTGCATCTGCAGTCCCACGAAAAAATAAGTCATATTACCCAAGCTTACATTTCCAACTGAATGTGATAAGATAAGGTCAGAGTCTGTGATTCTCAACGGCTCTAGGTGATATTGACAGTGAAATGATGCCAAGAAAACACTTCAAGCGTAACAAATGTAGATGTGTTAAAACCAGTATTTTCAATTAATGTAATATTATTATTATATATAATAACATTAAAATTAAAAAGTTACCGTTTGAATCAGTCTGACGAATTCTTTACCGAATTAATTCTTTGAAACGACAGAAAGGTTTCTAAATCAGCATCGTTAATATCATTACTAATTTTATATATACACACAGACATATTTATCTAGAAGCCAAGAATATATTTATATATCATTACTATGAATGATCCTTTACTTTACTATCGAATTATTTCCAGTTGAACCATGCAAGAGCTTGTGACTCGTATTAGGAAATAACTAGAAATAGTTGTGGATGCATGTAAATATCTAAACATGGTTGGTACCTGCCATCCTGGTCTTTTGTCCACCTCACAGAACTGCCTGTGGGCTTAGTTTCATACCATATTCTGACAGCACATGGGAAATCATGAGGGGAACAAGCCCCTTCCTTCCTGATCTGAAGCCTCCACCGGTCTGTGTGGAACCGTAGAGGTTGTGCATTATGAGCGCAAGGGGAAAGACTGCACTGGACGTATATCTCATGCTGCAGTCTCCAGCAGACAGAAGGCATAGAGACCAGCCTTTGTACCAGACTGGATGACGGATGATCCGTATTTGCTTATTGTTGGTCTGTGTCAAGTTTCTTTAAATCTGGTACTGTAGTTACATCCAACTCTTCCACTTTTGACACTGTCAGGTCACATCAATCCAGCACCAAGGTGAATTCTTCACTCTCATCACCCCACAAGACATTACTGACATAATTTCCTCCACTCAAACATGATGGCTCCTCAGGGGGTATCACCTTATTTGGCTCAGGTGTGATGGGAGAACTTACGTCATGTTTAGATGACACCCGAGATATGTTTTGCATTTGATTGATCGTTTGATTTAGATCCTGGTTCACCCTGTTTGCTGGAACCCACACCAGGCTCCAGAAACAGAACAATGCTGCCTCCGATGACCTTCCTTTGGAAGTGAACAGACAGGTCAAGAGCATAGTGTCGGACGAGCATATGGTTGGTGTTAGCCTGCAGGGACAGGTCATCTTTATTAGGATCCAGATCCAGATCACGGTTACTTTCCATATCTGATGGGGATATTCTATAGGCAGGAACAGATCTTGAGACCAGACTGAAATATCATTAGGAGTAATATATATGGTATGCTATTTGTGAAATAGTTCAGTCTCTCAAAACATTCCACTCGTTATTGAGTCTACATCTGGTCCTGAGGAATTGAATAGCCTAAATTTTAAAGAAAATATTACTTAAAATAATCTATGTAAGGTAAGTATACAATCTCAGTGACTGGCTGAGGTTTTTGTTCTAAAAACAATTATAAGCAAATACAATTAAGTTCCACATCCCTTAAAATCTATTCCATATATACAGTAATACAGAATACAACAATGATATCTTCAGTGGTTTCAACACTGTGCATGAAACTCTCCTCGAGTCATCTAATTATCAGCTGACGGAGCTCGTTTCCTGGCACACTGCAACATCCTTCCCTTGATATCCTCTAGAGACGTTCTCTTGACATCATGAATTTTCATCTTGTGTCCGACGGAGGCTGTTCCGTTTGAAGGAATCTCTGTTACAAACACAAGCGGGAACAGGAGCTTAAGCAGGGAATGCAATGTTCGAAAGAAACAGCTCCACAAAAAGAGCTGCAATGTGCAATATGAGTGCTCACATCACATCAGCCACATTCACACACTGTCAATGTTTGGTAAACTGCCCAGAATATAAAGCAGCATACCGGAGCAGATAGAATAATGCCTGTATAAACAGATAAGCAAAGTCAGTCCCATTGAGATAGCCTTCAGTAAAAGAAAGAAAATTATGAATTAATAGATCATTCATAGATAAGTAGAAAATTGATTATTTTTAATTACATTTATTTTATGTTGTTTTATTATGATTTATTTATTATTAAAATTCAGCTTTGCCATCACAGGAACAAATTACATTTGAAATTTATTAAAACAGAAAACACTTTGAAATTTAAATAATATTTCACAATAGGACCGTTTTTACTGTTCAAATTTTGATCAAATAAATATACCCTTGGTGAGCATAGGAGACTTATTTTAAAAAACTAATATTTTGAGAAACACATACTGCAACTAAGGAACTTGCTTTTAAAATTGGACCTTGATTCCTCTTTATTTAGAGAACCATATTTAGCACTCCAAACAGGACTGACAACTGTATTCTACTGCTGTGTGCAAAAAAGCACAAAAAACAGTGAGACTCACTCCAAAAAGCCACACTTAAAAAGAATAGTTCTTTTCATAAATCTTTTCTAATACAAACTCCAAAATATCCCTATAAAAGCACTATAAAAGTAGACAGCATCTTCATTTTTGGATGAACTGTTCCCTTAACACCGTTTATGGAAATACTACTAAACACGAGAGAGAATTTCCATCATTCACTGATTGCAGAGTCAAAGATCAAGTGTAGCACTAGTGGGTGTACCTATTCTCAATGCGAGGTTTGATGATGGGCTTGTAGAGCTCAGGGATCTTTCTCTCCAGCATGGGCCTCAGGTTCTCTCGCAGTTTGTTGTAGTTTTTCTTCATCTCCTGCTGGTACTCCTTCTGATCAGGAGTAATGAGTTGCTTGTTCTTCTCAATGGCCTCTCCACACCTGCAGGTATGCAATCACAACAGCATTAGCAACACAAAAAGCTCGGCAGAACACCAGATGATGAATAATAAGTGCAATTAGCTGCATTTGGACAGAACTAGTCAAATGAGTTTGTTGAGGAGACTCAACAGTAGGCTTGGGTATCGTTTGGGTTTTTTTCGATACCGGTGCCAAATCGATACTTTTAAAACGGTTCCGGTGCCTAAACGGTGCCTGCACCGATACTTATTAAAAAAATTAAAAACAATTCCCTCAAAAATGATGGATTGGCCATTAGCACTATAAACACATGATGTTGGTTTCATTCATACTGGACGCCAGAGGGCGCCCTCGCACAGAAAATCCACATATCCAGTCACAGAAGTAGCAGAACTCATGACCCTCCAGGAAATCCCTTATATGTTTTTTTTTCAGTCTATGGGATAAAGGCATCGCTATTATAGCTGTAACTGAGTAAACAGAACATATGAACGTTTTGAATGATAAAACAAAGACAATAAACACTTGACTGCGGCAATATAGTTTATCTGTGTTATTCAAGCCATCTCTGGTATTTTCATAATAATTAAGAATATTAATAATCCATTGCTAATCGATGTATTCTTTTTAAAGTAGCCTATGGAACATATTTTCTGCCTCATTCTGTGACAAGAAGCCACATCAGATCACAAAAGGAAGCATTTGACTGGTATTGTGGAGTAAAACGGTTATAATGTTCTCTTTTGTTGGACAACAGGTTTAGAAATTTGAATACAAGGGAGGTTTAGCTTTAGGCATTTTAATTTAAGCATGTTTAGCTTAGTTAACGGAAGGCTACCTGCTGCCATCAGAGCAAGTGTAATTACTGCATTCACGTGCTCCTCGGATGCTCTCATTTCCCAAGTTGTGCTTTTAAGTCGGAATGTGGAAACAACATGGACACTCTCGTTACTACAAAGATTTGTTGGATTTGTATTATTAGAGCTTTCCGACTTGAGTTCACGTGCATTTTCTCAGTCGGGAAATTATTTTTCACGTGCGGTGCCGGTGATGATGCTTCTTACGTCCGTTTCGGAGAACCAGAGGACAAATATTTCAATCGATCACTCAGGCATGGCACCAAAATGAGGCACCGAAATCTGCGTTCGGATTCAGTTCTAGTACATACTGGTTACATAGGTACCGGTGCCATATTGGTACCGGGTTTCGGTACCCAACCCTACTCAACAGTTAGTTTTATTCCCCAGAAGCTCTCGTTCAAAGGCAAAAAGCCACTAAGGGAACATTGAGGAACATACAACTGTGTTTCTTTTTCCTAAATTAATTTTAAATTGTTCTAGATCTTTCAAAATATGTCTTTTGAGAATTAGGAGGCTATAACGTCTTGGCACAAATAACGGTAACTTGGCTAGAGAAGGATTGTGCCAGGCTGGATGGATTATGGAGAAAAATAAACATATTTTAAATGACAGTAAATATTTGTCTGCATGCTGGCATCAATCAAAGCCCAGAATCCAACATGAGCTATTCCGTCTGTAAAAAGCAAAGTTGTATACATCCTGGGAAAACTCACTGTATTCAAAAACTTAATTCGTTTCGAGTCTTGGTTTAAACATTATGATGATTATGCAAAACAAATGCAGCTGGGTGACATTAAGATGGTTTTCTCCGCTTGCGGAAAAGCCCCTCGGGTGTCTTACATCCAAGTATTTGAGCGAACTTTCAAATAAAGAACTTTAAACAAACCAATCACTATAAAATAAAATACTTCTATATTTCCTTTGATCCTCTGATGGAAAACTTGCTTCATTCGATCACACGCCACTGAAAAGATCACCTTGATATCTCTTTTCCATTGGAAGCGGCCACTCACCGCAGTATGAACTCTTTGAAACACAAACGCAGTTTGTTGTGATGACGGAAGAGCTTGGGGTCTGCTGGGATTTCATTCAAGAAGACCTGGGCCACCTCCAATGGACCCTGCAGAGATACACAGAATGAGAAAAGGAAAGAAAAGGCCCCCCCTCTCTCCCACAGTGCCAGCAGAGAAAATTAATGCTTCATCCATTGGAGGCCACAAGGTAAAGTCAACACATAAGGGAAAGATCATGAATAAGTCTTTGTGTGAGTGATGTCACCGTGGAGCCAGGAGCAGAGGCATTACCGCGCACTTTTTATGTAGTTTCTCCAAAGGGCATTTATCATATAACCGCAGCCATATCCAGAGGACTTGGATATGTTTTAAACTTGATTAGTGTTGTAAACTGTCACAACTGTCACTATAAATAGAGATGGTGGGAGCATCAGTATGAATCCCTGCAACCCTAAGATTTACATTACTCTTCTATACTGTCCTTAAGTATTCAAAAACCACACCGGAGATCTGCAGTAGAACAGGCATGGAGGGAGACTGGGTGGCTGGATAAGGGATGGAGCCAGTGTTAATGACAAGGAATCAAAGTTTGGTTGGTTAGCTCGGGTCTGTTAGCCCCTGCTGGTAGATGCGGTAATTACATCATTTGGACCCCAAAAAATGATCGTTCCTCATTGATTTTAACATTTTTTTTTTTGTACAAAAAATACAATTGTTAAAAAATGTGGGGGTTCTGAAAAGAAGTCTTTTATGCTCACTTTGGCTGCGTTTATTTTTACAGTAAAAATGGTAATATTGGTAAATATTATTATAATATAACCATTTTATATTTTTATATTTTTTAAAACGTAATTTATTCCTGTGATGGCAATGCTGAATTTTTAGCAGCCATTACTCCAGTCACATGATCCGTCAGAAATCATTCTAAAGACACATTTATTATTATTATCAATGTTGAAAACAGTTGTGGCTCTTAATATTTTTATATAATATTTTGTGCCATATATAATGAAAGAAGTAACGGCATTTATTTGAAATAGAAATCTTTTGTAACATTATACGTCAATGCATCCTTGCTATTTTTTTAATCATTTTGTAAAACAAAAAAAATAATGTAAATTAATTTTTTTATTTTACAAAATAATTATTCAAATAATGTCAAAATGTTAATATACTATTACTATATCGTTAATAGATATTTTACCAGTGCCTAAGTGTTCATTTAGGAGGGCTCTTAAAAATTTGAAATAGACATAAAATTATATTTTTGTCAGCTTCCTTTCACGTTTCACAGCTCAGAATAGTTGCTAGTGATGGGTACAAGCGTGCATTAATTTCAGACCTGATTGACGGTGGCTGTGACAGATCCCTGCAGAACCATCTGAAGCATCACAGCATCCGGCTTCTCTCTGTGTGTGGCTTCAGCCAGCTCTCTAGTCTTCTTCTGCATGTCCTCAATGGCCACCTCAATGGGAGTGAGGTCAAACTGAAAACAGGTGGGGACTGATTGAGTAAGCAGTCAGTTAGACGCCTTAACAAACTACCACTGCAGATGAAGCAGACGAGGGGGTATTTTCCCTGGATTGTCATTACCTCCTCCTTCTGAATGACGTTGATCCGTGTCTTGATGTAGGGGAAGGCATGCATGGTGGTTAGGATAGTTTTCCGCTTGTATTGCTCGTTGAGTTCCCCTCGGGGCCGCCCACTCTTTGTGAACGGAGTAGTGTACATGAAACGACGAAGGTTGAAGTTCTTCTCAAAATTGGTGAGGCGGTCTTTCATCTCATAGTCATCAAAGTAAGGCTCCACAAAGGTAATCTGTACGTACGCCTGATGTGAAACAAGAAAATCACTGAGACTTAAAGGAAACATAAATCGCTGAGGGTAACATTAGTTGACTGAGGCATTTGAGATTTGAGTGTAGAGGCAGTCGACGGCCTTTCAAGCTAATGAGGGTGTCACACAAATCGCACTGAAGAAAGCTTTTGATTGTAATTGTGTTTACATTGGCACAACACTTGATGAGAAGTACCTTGTTGGGATTCAGCTTCTTCCTGTCTACTGGTGTGGAATCTTTAATCATTTCCAAAACTCCATCTCCGAAACACTGACTGTAAAAGTTCTGGAAAATTACAAGACAAAGTGACAAATGTGTAAGTCACGTATAATATCGACGCAAATTTCAGACCATTATAGCACTGCCTAAAAGCATCAAAACCTGAAAACTGAAACCTTAAGAAAAACCTTCAAACTTCAAATTCATCTTCATCACAAATGCAGTTCAAAACTTCACAGGGTTCCAGAGAAATTTCACCTCGAGCCGGTGGGATATCTCCGGTAAATGGGTAATTCCTGGCTCTTTGTAGATAAATTCTTGCTCATCCAGGTCTCCAAATTTAGAGCCATAAAATCCCACGCGGAAGTAGGTTCCAAACATCCTCTTGTGACCCTGAAAAAGGAAAAATAAACATTTAGTTAAAAGACAGTAGTTGCTACATAATGACACATGATTTCAGGTTCAAATTTATATGAAAGTCACCATTTTTTGTGTTTTTAAACTTATTTTAATGTAATGACTTCACAAAGTAAAAACTAGTTTTTGAAGTTGTAAATAAAGATTATTAGAGTGTTTTACAAGATAAAAACAATTTCAGTCTTTCTACTTCAAAATGTCATGTTTAACTCAATGTGTTACTTGCTGATGCTTTGTAATTAGTTGTGAAAGCTACTAGCAGTTTTCCACACCATTTTTTTTTCAGTACACTACCTTATTTTGCTGTGGTGTGACAAATAACTTGTTAAAATTACAAATATTCTACATAGTGTCTTAATTAATGCTCATCAATTAGTGTTCATAAACCTTAATGTATAATAGCTATTTAAAAAAATAGCAAAATGCCGTTTAACATCGTTTTATATGAAGTATAGCATGTCACAGCACATTAAATTCCCTATTTCTATCTAACTGCCCACATACATATAGATTAAGATCACATTAGGCAGCTTCTTCTTGCCTGGCAGAGGCATATAGGAGGACATGTCATTTGTATGCTTTACCTTTTGAATGATGTTCTCAAAAGCCCTTTGGAGCTTGTCATGTGTGGAAGCGAGCCTCCGAAAATCTCTGTGGGCCTCCAGTATAGGCACGATTACCTTGTACACCTCATTAACCGCCTCGTACAACCCGCCCTGTAAGTGAACAATGGTAAGAAGCAATGAACAGTAATATATTATATATATAGCTACATAACTTTCATTTTAATGTTTAAATTTTTTTTAAATAAAAACTTATTATTTTTAATGATTATTATTAGAATACATATGAAATATTACATTATTACAATTGAATTAATATATCCATTTAAGTTTCATTTTTTTAATAATAAAAAATAACAAATAATAGTAAATATTATTACTATTATTATTGCAATGGCACCATTATGTTAAATTGAGCGTATGTGCGAAGCATCTCTGGACATCGCCAATCTCGCATCTAGGTCAGTTTTGCCATGAAGAACTGCTCAGCATCGACACCGCTGAGAAGATTAATTTTGAATTAGTGCTGAAACCTGACTTCACGGTTTTCACCGTTTAATCTAATGTGAGAAACGGCCTTAGGAAACAACACAAAGCGTAGACTAGAGGGGTAAAAGACGGTCTGCCGGCTAAAAGAAATCAACATGACTTATTCAAGGTTACATTAAGGACAGGACCGACTGCTGGAACCTTTCACAAACCAAACAAGCAAACAAACAGACAGACAGGGAGAGAAATCCATCCTTTGCCCATCAAAGATGAATGAGATGGCAAACAACATGGCCATCTGGTAGGGGAGGGCTGAGGGGGGTGCGAAATTGAGTAAACAGAGGAAATACTCCAGTCATCAGCCTGGTGCACACAGAGGGACGGCCGGCGAGCAGCGACAGGCTCATGTTATCAGGCGACAGACAGACAAAGAGAAGAATAAGCTTATAGAGGGCATTGTCAATGTTACGTCTGCATCATGTTATCGCAGCAAAGACATTCAGGTGGAAGTGTTTTCATTCGCTTAGCAATAAAGGTGTTGAGTGATATGGTGTCTTACACTAGCAGAGTTGTAGCTGTATCTCATGATCAGGTACAGAGTAGCACAAGCCTGACTCCTGTTGCCATCCACACAGCTGCTGCAGTAATGAAGAACCTTCTGACACAGGTCTGCACACTGCTCGGCCTCCTCCTCGAACAACAGGTCACCAAACTGAAAAATAGTATCGTATCAGTCATATAATTCAATATTATAGATATTACAAAAAAGGGAAGACTGGGGTTGGTTGGTACAGTTTTCATTCTTTGTTAAATATCTCTCTAGGTGCAAATGAATTAAAGCTTAGGCTCTTGGGTGCTAAACAGACATTCAATCACATTTTGTTAATTCAGGACTACATTTATGCAATTGTGCTAAGCAACTCTAATATAGAAAGGAATTAACACTAATTCATTTCTACAACTAATATGATGCCGATACTGTATACACTAATGTTCAAAAGTTTGGAGTTGGCGAGATTTTTTTATGTTTTTAAAAGAAGTGTCTTATGCTCACCAAGGCTGCATTTAACTGATCAAAAATACAATAAAACAGTAATATTGTGAACTGTGAATATTCATGTGATGGCAAAGCTGAATTTTCAGTCATTACTCCAGTCTTCAGTGTCACATGATCCTTCAGAAATCATTCTAATATGCTGATGTACTAATCAAGAAAGATTTCTTATTATTAACAACGTTTACAAAAAGTTTAATATGGTCGTGAATTGTTTTGATGAATAGAAAGTTCAAGACTTTTATTCAACTATTTTTTTATTTAATAAATAACTGTAAAATGATTATTTAGTATAATCATATCATTATTATTGTATATAATATAATGTAATATATATATAACTGGTTCCCTGATATGACCTCTTTTTTAAGACTCTCTATAACTTATTTTAGCATATTTGCTGGGGGGGTTCATTTTTGTTTTGACAGAATACTTGACAAGTTTTTGCCTCAACATTCAGATGTTTTTTTTTCTGACAGAATCCAATTATGAACCAGAAATTAACCATGTAGACAACCCCAATCTAGCCTACAGCTATATGATTTAGAACGAGTTACACTCAAATAAACCACAGGAAAAAGCTGTTATATGGTCATAAATAAAAACAAATTCAATTTCAGCAAATTTTGGCACCTTTTTGTACTGTCAGCCGAAACGAATGTACACGGCACACACATGGTCAGTACCTTAACTATGAGAGCCCGTAGGGTGCTGAAACAGTGTGACAGGAAGGTGGTGCTCTGATTACAGGTGAGAGAGTGCAGCAGAACTTTCAACACTCCACCAACCACATTATCCTTACAGTCCGCCAGAGGAACTGCCTGGAAATAGAACACAAAGCAAAACCATTATTTCATGCTAAAATGTCTAAATATTATTTGGGTCCACTGTAAGAGTTCTCTGTTACCTGTACGATCATCTCCAGCAGGTCAAGGACTATGAGGTTGGTCTCAGTTGCCAGGTTACCACTGATTATGGCCTCCTGATCCAGCTCTGCTTTGGATCTGAGGAAACAACAATAACAAGACATTAAGCAAAACAACAACAAAAAAAGCTAAATTTTAGCTGTAGATTAGGGCCGTGGAGAACTAGAACCAGCTATAAATGAGAAGTGCCACAGGTTAAATGGATGTGAACCGTGAAATGATGGTAGTATTTTACGCTCACTTGTCCTGCCTGTCGTTTGTCTGGCGCCACTGTGTAAGGTCTTTCCTCCAGCGTAGGTTCTCTCTCTGTCCCAGCGTCCGGTCGTTACCTTGCACAACACACAGCCAACAACCCGAGACGGGACATATTTAGAAAATATCTAAACAAAGGAAGTCTGCGGACTGTAAACATGTAAAATTAGACAGCATTTTACAAGAAATTTAAAATAATTTTAGTGCATTGTGGAAAACAAATAATATATTATTCATTGCGCCAACAGTAACTGTCCCCTCTACAGTTAAAGGAACAGTTTTGTCATTATTTATTCATCCGCATGTGGTTTCAAAAATCCGTATGATGTGCTTTATTCTGTATTGAACAAAAGGTGACTTGTTTTAAATATCCTGCAACATATAATGAAAGTGCCAAAATGACACCATAACTGTATTGTGTCTTCTTTGTCCAGAATTGCAGTTAAAAAAACTAAATAAATACCACCTTTCCGCACATGATAGTGTTATCATGTGGCATTAAAAAAATTGAGTGCATGTATTTATTTATATTTAAAAATATTAATAAATAAATAAATAACCAATGGCTCATTTTCATCAAAAGACCCTTGGCAGGCAGGTCACCTTTAAAAAAAACTCTCAGTAGTAAAATAACAGAGAACAAATTCTACTTAATATATCATACATACACATACATATCTTGCCAGAGCCAAAAATAAATCAGAATAAACATCAAAAATCATCAAAATAAGAGTTAAAATGGTCTGAAAACATGATCAAATTTAAAGTAAATCTCTGTGTCTGTCATCAACTTTTAACCTAACAGAGAAGTCGTGGCCTAATGGTTAGAGGGTCAGACTCGTAACCCAAAGGATTGTAGGTGGGGGGAGTGAATGTACAGCGCTCTCTCCCACCTTCAATACCACGACTGAGGTGCCCATGAGCAAGGCACCGAACCTGTGAACCACCGAACCACCCCAACTGCGGGCGCTGCAGCAAAAATGGCTGCCCACTGCTCCGGGTGTGTGTTCACGGTGTGTGTGTGTGTGTGCTCACTGCTGTGTGTGTGCACTTTGGATGGGTTAAAATGCAGAGCCATACTTGGCCACATGTCACATCACTTTCACTTAAAAAGAATAGCTGAACATAAGTTCACAAATAAAATATATTGTTTAAATTGTTACGGCCTTCAGTTATTATTTTGGAATAAATGTAAAATTCTTAAAAACACTAACTTGATGAGATTTTCTGGTAGTGTAAGTAATTAAATAAGTTTATTTAACCAAGAACATGTGACTGGGACAGAAATGTACATTTGATTTTGAATTTACATTTGGAGGACTTTGCCTCCTCCTTTCAGAACACCACTGATATATATATATATATAAAATCTTAATTTATTTAAAATAATATATATTAGAATAAATATACTTTTTAATGTAATTTTCTCAGTCCCATGGAAAAATTATCTTTTTTTTTAATCTACCCACAGTATTCCATGGAAGAAAGAAAGTCACACAGTTCGGCGCAACATGAAAGTGAGTAAATGATGACAGAATTTCCATTTTCGGGTGAACTATTCCTTTAAAGGCTAAGATAGGAAGTAAAACATGAGATGCAGCTCACCTCCCACCCTTTTCATCATTTGTCCTCTGGCTCCGATTCCTCCCAACAGAGCCTCCTCCAGACGCACCTTAGCCTGCTGAGACTTCTGCAGGGCCTGGGTGCTCACCTTATCAGAACTCTGCTTCCCCTACACACACACACAATACATTACGTGAAAATGTTCTAATGACATCAGAAAGACCATCCAGGAGACGTCTTCCTGTCCAAATCAAAGTACATCCTGTCACTGTGACTTCAAGCACTTCTTGAAGGTCACTGAATGATGCTGCAGTGACTGAAGTGTTTTACCCTGTACTCAAAGCAGGAGATGCAGATGGTGAGGAGTTCCAGCAGACGGCTCAGCTGAGATAAAGGCATGTCCACAGTCCAGCGCTGGACCAGATTCTGGTCTGCATTCTTGATAATCCACAGGAAACACATGAGCAGATTGCGACTGGTCTCTGCTGTCAACATGTTGGTAGTTTTCCCCGTCTGGACAAAGAATGTTCAAATGAGAATTACTGTTTCTTTGGAATATGTCAGATAAATAGACATGTATCCAGACACATTACAATTCTCCCTAGAATACTTAATTATGATTGGTCAGTTACTGTACAGTCAAATATATTGTATGCTAAACTGTATACTCTCATATCACTCCCAGTGTCGTTTTGTTTAATTTGAAGTTCTACATTACTAAAGCCATAACTGAAAATAAATTGAAGCTGAATATAGAAATAAAAAATATAAATAATAATAATAAAAATGACAAAAGCACAATTACTAAAATGTAAGGAGGGAAAGGGGGGGGTGGGGGGGGGGGGGGGGGGAGAATTTCATAATATTTTTACTTCTGTCTGAGCCAAGGTGCAGTAGTTTATGCACATGTTCTTAATATGGCACTCATGCAGGTGGATTTGTAGACGTTCTCTCTGCAGACTCCAGTGCTGACCACCATCTGAAGAGCCAGCTCCTCATGAAACAACTACAAAGACAGATGGATTTTCTTATTAAAGGTGAAGTCTAATGCTATTTCATGCATTCAGATTTATTTACGCTGTTAAAGAGTTGGATTCTCATGCTAAACATGGCCAAACATGGCCAAACATGGCCAAAAAGTATTTCTGTGCCAAATACACTCCTTCGGGGTTTGTATAAGTTTCTGAAAGTCTTTTTTTAGCTCCGCCCATGGCACGCATCTAGGAGCTCGACTGTTTTCAGAGAGAAGCGTAAAGCTGTATCTTTCTTGTATAAATCTGATCAAACTAGAGACTCTGCACATATTTGACAAGATCTGGGACTCCTTCCTACGTTTTTTTAGATCAGAATGGACTGACTCTTGAGTAATACCAAATAATGTGATCATGCCCAAATTTTTAATGACAGTGGACTGCGTGCTAATGTGTGAACTGTGTTTATGACTCATTTTAACATATTTAGTTTTTCATTGGTAATTACATATGCTCAACTGTCATTTTCTTAATGTATTTTACAATAATGGCCAAATGGAGTTTGGTTACCGTTACAGTATATACAGTATGTAATCCCTTTTCTTAATGTTTGGAAACAATAAAAAGTATCTAAACAAAAAACTAAAGACTCTTCAGAGATATGAAGGATGCAATACTACTCTATAGGTACTCCAGATTAATTGAGATTGGCCGAAACTGTGTGTGTTATGTCCCTTTTAAGAAACACAACCTCTGCTGAAATGACAGACATCTTAGGTAACGAAGTGGCAAGTCAACCTTTCTGTTCGTGGGCCGTGTGCTTCCCGTGGAGCTTTGTGAAGTATTGGAGACGTTTCCAGCTGCTGTCATGCGACTGCCAGGAAGATTTAAACCCTGGTGGAAACCAAAAATGTGGGAAAAATAAGAAAAAATGCCAAGTGTGTGAATATGTGCATGTAAAAAGGCTGTGCACCCTTCCGAATAGAAATGAGTATACTTTTTAAAATTGGAATTTTTACGGAATTGTGTTTTTTTTGTTAACTAAAACTATTAACTATTATTATTATTTAACTAATTAACTATTATAATTTTCATTAATTGAAAAAAAAAAAATCCTACCATGAATTTTGTTCAACCCAAGAATAATATTGCATTTGTCTATTTATTAATCGAAAAAATATATATAAATAAAATATAAATATTAGATGGAAAACCCTAAACTTAAACAAAAACGAGAAATGTTGCCTTAGCAACAAACTGAAATAAGTGTAAGTGTAATGTAAAAATAAGTGTAAGTCGAAGTACAAAAATGACTATAAATAAATGAAAATAAACAGATATATTTCAATATAATATATAATTCTTAAATATTTAATAAATGACATACATTTCATTGAATTGTAATTCAGTACATTTCTCTTCCTATCACTCTATTTTAACATTCTGTGGCCAATTCAAATTTCAATTCAAACTCATGAATTTTGTCCAGCCCACGTATAATGTTGCATTAGTGTGTATGTACCTTTCCTAGAATGTTTGCGACCTCTGTGTCCTCTGGGCTCTGCGGTGCTGGTATATCAGGGTTGCTGGTGGAACGAATCCGTGACTGGAGCAGCATGAATCCGACCGTGTTAGCCGTGGCGCGAGTCAGAGTGCTGTATCGACTCTCTGGGTGAGCCATCAGACCTCCTGTGCCTGGTAAAGACAAGTAAGCCTCGGCTCAATGACAGACAACAACAGAGTAAGTCCCAAAGCCACTAAAAACTCAAATCAATTACATCATTGGTGTTAGGATGATGTCACAACCCTACTGTACCTGTGGTGTGGATTTCATGTTGTGTATCTGGCAAGCGGAACACAAAGTACAGGTATGTTGCTAGGAGACAGTTTCTGCCCTGATGGTCCTTTGCCAGCTCCTGACTGTTGTGAAGGCTATTGACAACCGACACCACTGACTCAAATGCAATCTGGGCCAGATTTGCTGCACAAAACAAGATTAATACTCTGTAAAGCCAGCTGACAATCCCGAACATGTATACTTGCCTACGCAGTATGCAAAGATCAGTACATCAAATCAGTATGATGTGCAAATGTACTTGTATGCTAAAAACATGACTTTTTGTCTTTCCAGTGAGTGTAACACAAAAGCTAAAGCTCTTCCTGTATGAAACGCACCAGTCTGTCCAGCGATGACCATGGGCTGCATGATGAGACGGAAGAGCTTGTCGAGGACCTGATGGAGAAAAAGCACCAGCGGTTCCAAGCCGGAGGACGACAGCGAGATGATGCTGAGCTTCAGCTCGTGCTCAAACATGTTTTCAGAAATTTTCTCATCTCCCAATCGGATAGGGAATGTGGTCTTGCCCTCCAGGGCGTGACACAGAGTAAAGAAACGCTCCAAGTGACTGTCCTGTGATTGAATAAAAAGAATTGGTAATAGTCATTTCATTTAATGAATATTCATAAATAAACGTTCCATTACATAACACTGCATAATATTATTAAAAATGTTTGAAATGTCACCTATAGAAACTGGTATTTAAATTTACTTTACAATAGGTTTCAGATAATATAATATAATATAAAACAGTATTATTTATTAATTAAATAATTAATTTAATACCTTCAATAAAATAAATAATAAAATAATAAGTATTTATTCATACTTTTGTTTTTATATTTTTTAGCTATTGATGACTTTTAGCTTTTAGAGCTTTTTATAATTTTGTGCTTTTGTCATTTTGATTAGTTTTATTTAAATAATTATTTATATAATTTATTTTTCTTTTAGTTTTAGTAATATTAGTACTTACATTTTGGCTAGGTTGTCAAAACAACATTGCTAAATTTCTAGTTTTTTTTTTTAAGTGTAAGTTTTTCATATATTCAGTACATTCTTCTTCCAGCCATTCCATTTCCTGTAGGGTTAGTAAATTTAGTTCAAATCAATATATTTTACACTAGTTAAAACTAGTATGATACTTAAAATCCTGCTGAAAAGACCAGCTTTGACCAGGCTCAGTCTAGTTTTTGCTGGTCTGATGCTGGTTTAGCTGATGGACGTCCACCATGGTCTTTCACTGATTGACCATAGATCTTGTTATTTAACCTAGGTAAGAAGCGATGCTGGAAACATCAGCACACCAGAATACAAAACACAACATATGCTGGTCTTTCCAGCTGGGAAGTAAGATCTGAGAGTGTTTGGCACCTGTGTTTGGACTGAGGACACAGCTTGTAGCTCAAGGTTGAACAGTCCCTTATGATTCTCCATCCACTTAACAGGAGGTACCTGAGCTGGCAGTTTCTGAAGGCACATAAAAGACCCAAATTTACAGAATATACACTATATTCAAACAAATGAACACACAAAGCCACACAAGAATCATTGAATCTGTGCCCAAATGAGACATAAATGTAAGGTTCCAAAATTATATGATTGGTATCCAAAAAAGGCAGATGTGAAATGGTTGACTGTACCTCTGGGGAATGCAGGGAATAGTTCCCAGGAAGTTTGTCCAGAATGATTGGCAGACACTGCTGCCCAGTCTGCAGCCTGTCATTGTTCAGCATGGGTAACCACTGCAGGGAAGGAAGTGAAGTCATGACCCTTACAGTTATCTCTGCTTGTTTGTGAAGAATCATTGAAACACTCTCTAGCGTATGTAATTACGTAATTGTAATTACATACGTTCATTTGTAATGTTTTAGTTTCTCTTATGTTCACTAAGGACGCATTTATTTACAGTAAAAACTGTAACCGTTTTCTATTTTAATATATTTTAAAATGTAATATATTTTTGTGATGGCAAAGTTGAATTTTCAGCATCATTACTCCAGTCTTCAGTGTCACAAGATACTTCAGAAATCATTCTAAATGCTGATTTGCTGCTCAAGAAACATTTCTTATTATCATTGGTGAAAACAGTTGTGCTGCTTAATATTTTTGTGGACACTGATACATTTGACACAAGATTCAAAAGAACAGCATTTATTTGAAATATTTTGTAACATTATGAAAGGCTTTATTGTCACGTTTGATCATTTTATGATCAATATATGTATGTATAAAAGTATTAATTGCTTTAAAAAAAAAAAGAAAAAGAAAAAGAAAAAAACTGATCCCGAACTTTTGAACAGCACTGTACTCACACTCACACACATACTCTCACACACACTCTCTCACACACTCTGTTCAATCACTCACTGAATATCCAATGAGACTCTCCACACTTCCAGTCTGGTTCTGTTTCTGCTGGCAGCTGATATGGTAAAAGGTGAGCAGTAAGTGGTGTTTCTCTGTTAAACGGGCTGGAAGACGAATCTTTATCTCGTCATAGAAATCAGGAGACCTGTGTAGGAGATGGAAACAGCTCTCTCAAACCACCCTTACATTTGCTTAATATATAAATCAATAAAATCATTGTAAGAGACCAAGATTACCTGTTGTGGTATGTGACTGGAGTGTAGACCTCTTGAAGAAACTCAGGGCCGCTTGATTTTCCAAAGATTACCTTTTTTGGGACAGTGCAGAAGAGAAGGTGACTGAGGTCAAGATTTGTATAAGGGCACGAATACATAAAATATACATTTTTAAATCTGCTCTATAGTATTGCTATACAAACAAATAATTTGGGATTTAATGGTATGTCATTTAAAGTGTAAGATTTATATATTTTGCATGTCATTTATTCACAATGAACTTGGAATCATACAATAAAATTATAATAATAATAATTATTATTATTATAGATTTCACATTATTATTATTAAATAATATAGTTATATCATATTTTCTTTAAAGCTTTGTAAACATTGCACAGGGGTAGAAAGAAAAAAAAAATTGAATAAAAAATGAATATGTTTACAAATGTTTAAAATATTTTTCTTTTTGGACCCCTTTAGTCAACTAGCTAACCTGATTTCTATTATATTCCTATTATGTTATTATATTCCTATTACATTATTATGTTATAAAACAATTTAATTTTTTTTGATGATGATGTTGTTGTGAATATTAGAATATAAATGCAAAGGTAATACATTTTTGACATGTATAAATAAATATGAATATGGTTTTGCACTCACAGGCATTGCGCAGCTAGGGTCCTCACCACTCATGAACTGGATTTTAACCGTAATGTTTCTGGCTGAAGTCAAACGGTTAGTAAGATTCAACCTCAGAGGATACACATACAGCAGGTTCCTGTAACATGATTAACATAAAAGAAATGAAACTCTAAAGTTATTTTCAGACAAAATAATCATTCAATTAGAAATCCACAATTGGGTGTAAAACATTAACTGACCACTAGATGGCGCTTCCAATTCAACACTGATAACAAGGAAGAAGCTAGTTGCTTATCATAAATATGGGAAGTTGCTTGTGTTCTTCCTGGCTTATTTCCATATAACGGTTGTTTTAATGCAAGTTTATCCTACAATTAATCAAATAAATTAGGCAATTCTACTTTTTCCATAATCTATAAACACACCCTCCCATCCCTCTTATCACAGGGTGTTTTCTAGGTGAGGCAAGTTTCTTATTTTAGGCTTGATTTGTAAGACCTGATTGCTTGTTTTTCTTATGAGACCTGGCAACATTGTCTTGCACGCAGACTATTTGTGTTCATAGTAAATGAGTGACTAATATCAACCACAGTTCTGCCCTCCAAATTCTGACAGAATTTTTCAGATTTTTTCAAGGTTACTGATTAATCACTGCATCCCATTTCTGCTAGACCTCAGCCTGACAATTCATCTGTGAGTGTGTGTGTGTGTGTGTGTGTGTGTGTGTGTGTGTGTGTGTGTGTGTGTGTGTGTGAGGGGGGGGGGGGGGGGGGGGGGGGGATTACCGGTATATATTGTGAGGCACATAGACTTCACTGGAAGGAAACTCCAGCACTTCTTTAACTGCCCGTGGATTTTTCTCAGACACGGGTTTCACTGGAATCAGTTCGGGGGACAGACACCCAGGAACCGTCTCCGGCACTAGAGACACTTCCAGTTTCAGATAACCTTTCAAAAAACACATACACATAATAGTGCAAGATCAGTTACATGCCAAAGTTTAATACTTATAAATAAGAGTTTTATTCACCAGACCACCACTGTTAACTCTCACACATAAGAGTTTTTCTGTGGACTGTAAAAAGGCACAGTTAGAACATCTCCTCACCAGGTATGATTTTAACACGTCGCTGATTGGACGACCTCTTGATTTCCGCCAGGAACTTGAACAGGTCCTCGTCACTCAGACGCTCTCCTTCCTGCCGGCACACACAATAAACGGTCAGCTCAACACAGAGCATTTCAAAAATTAAATTTTTTCAAATCAAATCGGGAAGATTTTATGAAGAACAGAAGAAAAATTTTTCAGTTTAGAGGAAGAGTGTTGTAAGAATGCAGCGTGATATTAGCTAGAGCTAGCTGAAGAATGCAGTCACCATCTGGAGAATGTGAAGAACGGAATAATGCACTCAAGGTGACAAACTAAAATTCAAATAATTTTAGCAACTTATATTTCACAATGCTAATTCAATGGGGTTGGATTTTTTAGCACAGTAAAGCACTGTTCTGAAATACACAACTGGTAAAAAATCTGTATCAATTTTACAAAATTGTCAAATGTTTGTCTTTTGAACATTCCAGTCATCAAACAATCCTTAACATTTTTTCCACAAAAATATTATATTTAGCAGTATGACTGTTTCCAACATTTATAATAATAATAATAATAATAATAAGAAATGTTTCTTGAGCAGCAACTCAGCATATAAGAATGATTTCTGAAGGATCCTTTGACACTGAAGACTGGAATAATGGCTGCTGAAAAATTAGCTTTGCCATCACAGGAATACATTACTTTAAAAAATATATTCAAATAACAACATTTTTAAATTGTAATAATATTTCACAATATTACTGTTTTTACCCCAAACCTTTGAATGGTAGTGCACATAAACAAATGATCAAGTCCCATCTACATTTTCTTGTTGAATATTCTATTGGCTATAAATTCTGCGAGCAATACCTGCTTAATGAATGTGCACATAGGGACAGCTGGTTTGAAGCCAGACAGGATATAGTTGTCCTCCATCACACTGAATCTGTCAGAGTTCCGTCTGGGCAATCCCTTCTTTTCCATAGTACCCTTGCCTGTACCAAAATCAAAATTGTACACAATTATGGATTTAATAATTTTTTTGTTGAGTGATGCATTATATTAACAGACCAATGGTGTTTATCTATTCAGTATCTCACCATTGATACTGTCTGTGTCACTTGTGTCTCGTTCCAGTGTGGAGTTGATGGCACTCATAATGTTGACCGTGGCAAAGGCGAATGGCATCCTGTAGCGGCCCAGCCTTTGACAAAACCCCTCCGCCTGATTCCTCAGCTTCTCCAGCTTCTCTCTGTTCTGATGGACACAGAAAAAAAGAAGAAGGGGGTTCACTAAAAGAAAGTGGTTTTATACATTACAATATTTCCCATAGCCAACTCAAATGTGCTTGTTTGAATTCAAAATAATGCTTCTACTCTTCTGGGAAAGCTTTCCACTAGACACTGGCACATGAACAGTATGCAGGGTTTTGAAGGGGCTCTTGCCTACCAGACTCAGTGAATGATTTCTTTATGGGCCGTACATTGTGCATATAGGCGTATTGTCACAACCCTTGCCAAAATCTGATAATTAGTAGGGGGTGTCAACATACTTTTGGCCATGTTGTGTACAAAACAATAGGAGAGAAAGTGCTCAGCGGTTACCTTAGCAGCATCACTCTCCTTCAGTACCATATATGGTTCAGCACAGTCCCCGATCTCTCCCTGCTGAAGAACCTTCTCGATCTACACATGTACAACACAAACACACTATTAATAACATTATTGTTACACAACATTCATCATCATCGCCACTTCCACTATCATGGGGAATCATCACTATCGACAGTAGTGCTCTTAATATGGGCTGATATCTACAGAGCAGGTCATTGACAAAGATAATATGCATATACACTACCATTTGTTTGGAGTCAGTAAGATTTTCTTTTGGTAAAGAAAACTATTTTGACATTCAGCAAGCATGCATTAAATTGATCAAAAGTGACAGTACAGACATAATGCTACTGCAAATAAATAGGAACTATTTTCAGCATCATTAAATCTGAAAAAACGTATCATTGTTTTCACAAACATATTAAGCAGCTTAACACTGATAATAACAGGAAATGTTTCTTGAGCAGCAAATACTCTCCTTCAGTACCATATATGGTTCAGCACAGTCCCCGATCTCTCCCTGCTGAAGAACCTTCTCGATCTACACATGTACAACACAAACACACTATTAATAACATTATTGTTACACAACATTCATCATCATCGCCACTTCCACTATCATGGGGAATCATCACTATCGACAGTAGTGCTCTTAATATGGGCTGATATCTACAGAGCAGGTCATTGACAAAGATAATATGCATATACACTACCATTTGTTTGGAGTCAGTAAGATTTTCTTTTGGTAAAGAAAACTATTTTGACATTCAGCAAGCATGCATTAAATTGATCAAAAGTGACAGTACAGACATAATGCTACTGCAAATAAATAGGAACTTTCTATTTATCAAATAAATCTGAAAAAACGTATCATTGTTTTCACAAACATATTAAGCAGCTTAACACTGATAATAACAGGAAATGTTTCTTGAGCAGCAAATAAGCATATTAGAATGATTTCTTAAGAATCATGTGACACTGAAGACTGGAGTAATAATGCTGAAAATTCAGCAATCAAAGGATTAAATTAGGGAAAAAAATAAAGTATTAAAATAGAAAAAGGTTGTACATAAACAATGTATGAAATGTACTCAAAATACACTGAAAATAAAGAAAATGTTTATTATTAATTGACAAAGTCTCAAAACGGCCAAATACCTATAGATTAATCGGCCTGACCTACACATCGGTTTATCACTTTATAAAAAATATATTCAAAACCAACAAAACAAGACAAAAAAAAGTCATATCAAGATACTAAAGTTACGCATTTGAATCATTTTTAGGCATACAGTGGCCATTACTCAGCACTACCTTAATGACCAGATAGATATCTGGAGAGGGGTAGGAGATGGAGAAAACTGCAGATCTGGCCAAAGTGGAGGCGTCAGTGTGTGGAGTGTGGACCCGCAGAAAACCCTTCATCTGATCTGAGTTTATGTCAAAGTGGAAGTTCTCTGAAATCTGAAGGGGAAAAAAATACCATGATTAGCATTGATAGCATGAAACAACCAGCCTGCTAAGGGTTTTACCATATAGTTAAAAAAGAAACAGAAGGGAAATTGCGGTGCATAAAGAACAATAATACTTCCTCAAATTTCAGGCAGAGTGAACCAATCAGAATGGAAAGACACCTCACAAAGAACATTACATTTACATTTAGTCATTTAGCAGACGCTTTTATCCAAAGCGACTTACAAATGAGGACAATAAAAGCAGTCAAAACTAACAAAAGAGCAACAATATATAAGTGCAAATGACAAGTCTCGGTTAGCCTAACGCAGTACACATAGCAAGGTGTATATATCTATATATACTGTATATATTATACACACAAACACATATACACACACACACACAAAGAAAAACAAGTAGATAGAATAGAAAAAATAGAAATCTAGTGTTTGAGTTAAAAAAAAAAAAAAAAACCTTAGCAGAGTTTCCCAATAAATGAACTTACTTGGGCATTTCAGAAATCTTAAATTATGTTTTAACATTGTGAAATGGGTAATTCCTCCCATCCAAAACACTCTCTTCACCACACCAAGCAACAACAAAAAAACATGCTGCATAAAGTCCCTATTTAGCATGAATGATTTGGTCTGTCTTTTGCATTACACTCTTAAAAATAAAGGTGTTTCAAAAGGTTCTTCAAGCGATGCCATAGAAGAACCATCTTTGGTTCCACAAAGAACCATTCAGTCAAAGGTTCTTTAAAGAACCATCTCTTTTTTACCTTTTTATAATCTGAAGAACCTTCTTTCGCCACAAAGAACCTTTTGTGAAACAGAAAGGTTCTTCAGATGTTAAAGGTTTTTTATGGAACCATTTAGACAAAAAGGTTCTTCTATGGCATCATGAAGCACCTTTCTTTTTAAGAGTGTACCCTTCTTCAGTAAAAGCTAAAGCTAAAGAGGATTAATGTAATACTTCAGGATATTCCTCCCAAATATATCTGCCGTCAGTCCATTAAATATGGAAATACGCACAGCTTGCATTATAACTGTCTTATAAGTTCTTAAATTTGTGGTAAAGACAAGCTGTTTGTATTTGAGTGGTTCATGTTCACTAGTTTTATAGACCTTTGTCTTAACTGAATTTTGTGACCAATTTGTACTTCTTTAGAATTAAGTTACTGTTTTAGATGTTTACACACACAAATTAAATATAGAAGATCTTGATTTAACCTCTTACAAAACAATGTTTATAGCTGTGGATAAAGAAAAGGTCTCTCATTAGTTTCTCCAGCTCTGTTCAGACTGAAGTGCAGGAATGTGGGAGGACTAACGGGAAGAACACTGACAGGAAGAATTGTCTCCCAAGCAAATAGGATTAAGCAAAAGGGTCAAAATACAAAAATACTATACCACATATATATATATATATATTTTCATTTCTTTTATGATAAGCATCAGAAACTGACCTTCTTCTTCTCTTTCAGGTCATATAGGGCCATGGTTGCAAAGAGGGGCTCAATTTCAATGTCAAATCTGTAGAATGAAAAACATTTTCTCAAAACCAAATATAACCCTAATAAAAAAACAAATAAACTTTTCAGGATGCATATGCTATGGAGACCATTTCAACCTCAAAGTTTAAAATGAAACAGGTAATTTAAAATAAGAAATAAAATCATATATCAGACCAAACATTTACAGAAAATAACCAATAATAGTGGATGGTAAAGAAGTATTACTTGATGGTCTGGCATCGCACTAGTATCCTCTGCCCAAAGTGCTCCTTGGGACAGTCGGGAATGGGCCGAATTGCTACTGCATCCTCCTGTACAGTCAAAGGCAGATTGAAGACGATATTTAACTTCTAACAGAATCCTTGTGTTCACAAAAATGAATCGTTCAAGAATATTCAGTAAAGAACATTGTTTAACATTTAAGCATGTATTTAAAGAAAGTAAGGCAAGGCTGGCACCTCATCAATGGGTGGGTAAAGGCCGAAGAGCTCGCCATAGCGGTTGCTATTTCTGGCCTCCAGGTTGAAACGATCCAGCTCCTCAGGGCTGCTGAAGCGCAAGAGGTTCTCCACACGACGGTCCGGCTGCAGGGCCCGTAAGTTGAAGTCTGAGCATGTGAGGGTTGTCCTAGTTGTATCATCACATAGTTCTGCCAGGGACGGTGACTTTTCCTGAGGGATGGGAGAGAACATATTACATTACATATGTGTCCCTGGACCACAAAACCAGTCATAAGGGTCAATTTTCTGAAATTGAGATTTATACATCATAAATAAGCTTTCCATTGATGTATGGTTTTGTTAGGATCTGACAATATTTGGCTGAGATACAACTATTCGAATATCTGGGTGTTCTTAGCCATGCATATTACTAATCAAAAATTAAGTTTTGATATATTTATGGTAGGAAATTGACAAAATATCTTCATGGAACATGATCTTTACTTAATATCCTAATGATTTTTGGCATACAAGATAAATCGATAATTTTTATTTTTTTATTTTTATTTTGGCTATTGCTAAAAATATACCCCAGCGACTTAAGACTGGTTTTGTGGTCCAGGGTCACAAATGGCATACATAGGACATTTAGATATCATGGTTGTCAAACTGGAGCCTTAGGACCCCCAGGAGCCCAAAAGAGAGTTCTACGAAGTCCATGCAAAAGTTAATAAATAATTTAGTAATTCACTATTAAAAATAAAATAAAATAATAAGTAATGTTCACATTAATCAAATTTGAAAAAGTGCATATATAAAACCTATAATGAAATAACAAAATAAAACAAACTGTTAAATTTATAATTAACAATAAAAATAAGGACTGTTCACATTTAGCACCTTTTAAAAGGTTTATAAAGAAAATGTTACATTTATAATGAATAATAAAATAAGGACTGTTCGCATTTATCACATTAAAAAAGTTTATTTAGAAAAGAAAAAGTTACTTATTTACTCCTTTTCTCACACAGTATTTGGATATATAAAGTAAATGGGTAATTTAGGAAGGAAATTCATTGTATGTGAAGTTCCTTGGCATCAAAAAGTTTGAAAAAGATTGCTTCCTTATTTGCCTATTGAGAGCATACTGTATATTCTCACATATACAAGCTAAAAGTGATTGTTTAGGTGAAACTCATTAATTCACTTTCATTAGTTGACTCTACAGTTCTTTGTCAAAAGTAAAATGAAAAACAAAAGCAGCACATGGAATTAACTATTTTCCAAGTTGTCTTTTGTGAATACTGACCGAACTGGCAAAGTCTCCTTAACTTCATTCGCTGCTCTAATTCACATGTAGTTATGTGGCAGAGGAGCAAATTAAGTTAAGGAAGCATATACAGCTCAGCTATTCACAAAAGGAAAATATTAATCTTTGATTAATAATATTAACATTTGATTGGAAAATATTTTTGTTTTTCATTTTACTATGTCTTCTGTGAATACCGACTGAATTGGCAATGCCTCCTTAACTTCAATCTCTCCTCTGCCACATAACTACATGTAAACTAGAGCAGAGGAGCTCTGTATAGTTCTGAGACTAATGCCTTTTTCCTGGAAGACCATAAGCCTTTGAGATGGATGAATTCTCAAAGAGATTTCTGTTAATCGCCAAATATAAGAACCATATGCACCGGCTCTGATAGAGGGCATCATGCAGGGTTCCCGTTATATATTGTGTCTAGCCTGTGGGATAGACCTTCCCGTACCATTTGTATTCTTAATCTACTTGTTTAAAGACACACATCACAGAACAGAGCTGGCTAGCGGGACCTTTAGTACTCCTCTGAATTGCTAATAACCCCTGCAGTGAATGCAGGGGCCCTTTAAAGGATCCAAAACTAAGAGAGGATCTTGGTGTTCCTACAGACTCTCAATCTAAACTCATGAAAAATACATGGAGTGAAAGAAATCTTTGTGGTTTGGATAGTTCAATCTTGGCAAAGCTGCATTGGGACGGAAGTAGTCAGGACAGAATGAATATTCATGCCTCATTATGTACCTGGACCCTGACAAACGGGTGGGATGGAGCCAAGATGGTAGTCATGGCGACAAAAAATACCTAGGAGAAAGATTATGCTTATTTTCCTCCTTGTTTTCTTCTGTTTACTTCTTATTAAGAGGAAATTCATTTGTTTTGTATGTTTTATGGCAGGGAATGGGCACACATAATGGGATGTGTGGTGACACACTCCTGAGGCTTTAATATAATAATAATTACAAATAAAAAAAAAGAGGAATATAAGTGTCCGTGGGGTTGGGTGGCGTCCTTGATTGACACCAATAACAATGTGAACAAAAATCCCAATTAGCTGTTTTGTTGTTGTAAAACGACATCTATGTATAAGAGGAAAGTTTTTCTAAACGGTGCTTACTAGTTGCTCTTGTTTGTCAGGCTGAACGTCAAACTCAAACATCTGTCTCTGTAATAATCTGTTAGCATCCGTCCTCTCAGAGTACGCAATCCATCCATAACCCTGAGTTCTGTCAGTGAGAAGCACCAAAACAAAACAAACACAACAGTATTATAGCATCTCTTTGTCTGATATTATTTCTCTGAGTTATGATTTCTGAATATTTCAAATTCAGCCCTGAGGAGGGACAAGAAATGAAGTCTGGGAATTTACCTTCTGCTAACCACCAGCCAGGGCTGCGTGTAACTCTGAACACAATCCCTCACATGGGGATCCAGCTCCACTCTGGAGACACACAAACGCACACATTAGAACAACACTCAAAGCTTTACAGACACACACTCCGATCACAAATATTATTTTTTTTTATGTATATACTATGTAGCCCCGCACATAACATGCAAGAAAAAAATTAATAAATTGTGGGCACGATTTCTTAATTTGTTTCCTCGATTTACTAGATCAAGCGCACAATTTAATAATTCGTTCCCTCATTTTAAGTAAATCGTGCACTCGATATAATAATTTGTGCCCTCGTTATATCGTACTCACAAAATAATAATTAGTTGTACTTCCTGTCCGCGTACGCATTCTCATAAACATCTTGCTGCTTTATGTTATGTTATGGACAGAGACACTTTAATTATGAATTAGCCTATTAAATCGCGCGCACGATCTAGTAAATCGAGGGAACTAATTAAGAAATCGTGCCCACGATTTTTTTTTCTTTATTGCACGTCATGTTCGGGGCTCTGTATAATACTTAAAATTATTATATTACAAATTAATAAAATAAAATTAACTAAATGTATTTATTTTATTTATAAAGTGATAATAAATTAAATAATAATTAGAGAATTAAACAAAATATCATCATTACTATTGACACCAATACTATATAAACACCATTCTTACTGCCATTATATTTTTGCTTCTAAATGGTTGCAAATTCATTTTCATCTCAGTTGTGAGTGTTTTTGCATTTCTCACTTGAGAATGAAAATGAATAATTTATGCAAAGAATACAAACTAACTTGGGAGCACTGCTTTCTGTTGAATGAACATAAGTATACAGGTTAAAGAAACTAAATGAAAGATATCGAGTACAAATACAGATATTCGTCTAGTAAACCTTCTCAACCCCAACAGGGAGCATCCAGTACCTACCCTTCCTCAGGGACAGAGGGGCGGATGGTCCTGCATTCCCTCTCCACCAGCTCCACCTCCAGGTCATCATCAGGAAACTCCCCCAGCTCCTGCATGAGCTCAGCATCTCCACTGCGCAGCTGTGACATCAGGAACTCATCCAGGTCCACCGGCTCGACTGCTTCATATGACTGAGGCTACAAAGAAAACCAGGACATACAATAAAATAAAAATTACAATCATAAAATGAGCTCTTTGACTGTATGGACATATGAGGTATTATGAAAAAACCTGTGATTACGCTCTTAAAAATAAAAGGGGTTTGCAGCAATGCCATAGAAGAAGAACAATTGTGGGTTCCCCAAAGAACCTTTCAGTGAACAGTTCTTTAAAGAAGCATTTTTCTTAGTGTGAAGAACATTTTATTATCTAAAGAATCTTTTTCTACTAAAAATAACTTTTTTGTGGAATGGAAAGGTTTCATGGATGTGCCAATAAAGGACCTTTTTTGAGACATAATCCATACCATCATAATAACATAAAACAAAAGTAGTGAAAAGTATGAGAATGGGAAAGTATGAGAAGCATCAAAAATAGCCTCTAAAAATGCGAAATAAAAGCCTATAAAATTATATTAAAAAAAAGAAAAGAAAATGTAAAACTCAGCAAACAGGCCAGAAACGGTCATAGAAGATTAAATCTACCCTGAATGAATCACTACTGTATTTTTTCTCGACACTAAAGCATTCAATCCAATTCAATAGTTGTTGTCTATCAAATAAGACATGCATTTAATCTCCCTCTATACCAAAATGGAATTCCTAAAATAAACACACACACACAGAGAACTTGAATGCTCTATGACCTCCATAAAACAATGAAACAAAGGAGGCGGCTGGTAGGAAGCAATAAATCATTTTATAGCTGATGACATGTTCAGACCATAGCAGTAAAAAAATGCATTGCCTACAGTTGTATTCCTCTTTAAGTAAAGTTAGACGGGAGAGTGTTTTGTCATGACTTGAGGCAGACAGCTCCAGACCTGCTTAAGATAATCAACATAACTGCTGCAGTGCTTCGGGTTATGTAACATCTCTCAAACATTTTTTTTCACAGGTCTAGTGAAGGCTAATCTCTTGCAAAGTGTCATACAACAACATTATCAGTTATCTGAAACATGTCCCTATAACACAAGGCCTTACTAGAGCAATTCTGATAAACCACTTTCAAAACGAAAAATATCATACACACCTTTAAAAGCATGTAAAGGGGGTAGATGTTGAATCCCATCACAGGAGATATTAATAAACAATCAATTTAGATAAGTTTGTTATATAATGAAACTCATGTGTCGGAGGCATTTCATCAATGAATCGTAAGAAAAACGCTGTACTGTACAAGTTATCTAAATTCATCTGATCTCCATGGAAGCCCATTTCTGCCTCAGAGTAAAAAATAAACTGTGATTGTGAGAACAGATAAAATATCTGAACGTTATACTTTTTTTGAGATACAAGAGATAAAGTCGCTATAAAACAAACAATCGCAAAATACTGAGGACCTTGAAGTACAGTATAAGGTCACAATTGTGAGATATAAAGTTTCAAAACAATTGTGAGAAATAAATGAAGTTGCAATTGCAAGATATAAAGTTGCAATTGAATGAAATAAATTCACAACTGTGAGAAATAGTCAACTGTAAGAAATAAAATTGCAATTGCAAGAAATAAGGTTGCAAAATTAAAAGTCGCGAATGAGAAAAAAGTCGCGTTGGTAACAGTCACAACTGCGAGATGTAAAGTTGCATTACCATAAAATCAATTTGCAATTGCAAGAAATAACCACAGTAGTGGGAAATTAATTTGCAATTGCGAGAAATAAAGTTGCAAAAGTGAGAAATAAAGTTGCAATAGCATGATATAAATTTGCAATTATGAGAAACACTCACAATAGTGGGAAATAAAATCACAATTATGAGAAATAAAGTTGCAAAAGTGAGATATAAAGTCACAAGTGTGCAAAATAAAGACCCAATTGTGAAAAATTTAGTCACAATAGTTAGATATGAATTCTATTAGCTTTTATTTATTTATTTATGTATTACTCTAAGGTCGAAAAGGGCTTCCATAGATTTCTTTATAGCATATATATAGCTTACATCTCTGGTGTCTACCTGAGGTACTACAGGGAACAAAGCTTGGACATACTAATTGTGAAAAACCTTTGGATTTAAATATAGCAACTGTTCAAACTTTTTTGCCGTGTGGTTTGTGTACATAAGCAGCAGCTGACAAGGGAGGAGCAGAGGGTAAATGTTGATGAACACTGATATAGTCTATGGGTGGAGGTGTTATTTCTGTAGACCAATAGGAAATTAAAAAAAAAAAGAAAATCGGACTGTTTCTTATAATTGCATCATTTAATACACAGGTTTAAATGCAAGTTTCTCATCCTGAGGCCTAATTGTGCTTTTTGGAACATGGAAGCAACCACAAAACAGTTCCTGGTCTATACTCAACACCGTCAAGCTTAATATAACCCACCCAGGCTGTGTGCATTGCGCAAATTTAGCTTAGAGTTTCAATTCTGCATCTACCAATTGAATGCAACCAACACACAGTAGACAGAACAAGTGCATCTGAAAAGGATGAAAGAAAATACTCACCTAATGCTTCTTGCGAACAAACTAGGACGCAACTGACAAGATGGCGTTGCCCGGAAATAAAAACGACTGGTTTCAGCACAACTCTTCCTTAATAGGTTTGAGTCGCATGAAGCAGTCTATCTTTTGAGGCTTCCAAAAGCAGGATGTGACATCACAACCACTTCCCTTACTAGCTATGATGAAATAGCAGGGGCACATATGCACTCATATATCAAGTCAAAAACGTAAGGATAAGTGTAGTCAATGTTCTGCTCTCAACTTTAAGAAACCTTGAAGGAATTACATGATCACTGTCAGAAAAGTGAGTGTTACTGTGGACCATTATTATATGTTTACATTGGTTAAGAGCTTTCAAATCTGCTAGGGGTGAGATAACTAATAAGAAACAATACAAACAGGGAGCCATAATAAAAATACTGACAGATAATTGTGCCATGCTATTGGTAAAAAATATAACGGTTTTACAATAAACAAGCAATGAACACTAAATGTATGGGTTTATCATGCTGTAAGATACATGTGTATAAATCAGGATGCTATAATGCGTAAACAACTGAATTTATCAAATATTAAAGTATTATAACTACTTATCAATAATTTTAACATAATTACTGAGGTATAATCTGTGTTAAATCAAGAATAGCAGTTTTCCATCTTTCAATATCATAACATTAACATTTGCCTTTCGCTGTAGTCTATCTATGTGAAAATGGGAAAACATCGTAGGGAAGATTATGTTTCTATGAAGTCATCAGCTTCTAAAATCCACAGATATTACAGATGAGTGTGTGTGTGTGCGTGCGTGCGTGTGTGTGTGTAAGCTAGGAGGCACCAGCTGCAGTGGTCTGGTAGCCTGGGCTCTGACCCATTTTCAGCAAAGAGGAAGCACACGCAAGTTAGAGCTTAAGCACAAGTATATTCATGGGTGACTTCCCATTAATTTCTAATTTCTTCTTAAAATGAATAAAATAAAACATAATTTGATATAATATAATATTTATTAGAAAATAATTCTAATATTTATATTTATACAAAATCTTTTGACTGCTCAATGCCATGATTGACCAATCAGAGAGCAGTATTCCAGAGAGAAGTATAGGAAATAGAAATAGACATACATCCATGTATAATCTACAAATGACCTGCTTGTACTTTCAGAATTAGTTTGAAGTTACTCAGCTGGATTCTATTTTATATATCAGTGAAAGTGCATCACTCACTATGTTGAAGCAGAAAGAGCCAGAGGCGCTGTGACTGTGCCGGTGGTGAGGCAAGGAACCATGGCTGGTCCCACTGAAGTGTTTCCGGATCTCTGCCGAGGAGTGTCTGAGATGAGAGAGAGGGAGACGAGGATGAAGAGGGTGAGGAAGAAAACAGAAAATTAGGTGCAACACAGGATTATTATTTTTCAGCGGGAGGTTTTTTTACAGGCACCAGGTGCTTGATTAGACACTCATCTCGGTGTGTGTGTGTGTGTGTGTGTGTGTGTGTGTGTGTGTGTGTGTGTGTGTGTGTGTGTGTGTGTGTGTGTGTGTGTGTGTGTGTGTGTGTGTGTGTGTGTGTGTGTGCGAAAGATCCAAAGTTACACACACTGAATGAACCTCCCATCAATTACCCCATTCATTACTCGTCATTAAACACACAGTCCCCCTCATTAACCTGAAGTTAAGTGCCTTGCTTAAGGACATAACAGTAACAAATCAGGAAATCTCAGTAACTGTGTAGTTCATGGTCCCCTCCACGTAGATATGATGAATAGTCATACACCAATTTCTCGCCCAATGAATCGCCCAATTTTTGGCCATTCCGAGATGCCGATGATTCTGTCTACTTGAACAATTTACAGAAGTGTCCCTACTAGTTCCAAATTTTCCTAATAGAGCTGTCAATAAATAATTTCTGCAGTTTCTTCTCTCTATTGAAAACGTTTCAACCTCAGAGTACAGATTTACAATGCACTCAAGGTATTTTTGTTCATTTGTTTTCACAAATTCCCTTAGGATCAAACCCGTTAACTTAGTGTTACTAGCAACACGTTATGCTGTTTGAGCTAAGAACATGGAACAAAAATAAAATATAAAATATCACAATTATGAAAGTCACAATTATTAAAATGTTTCAACTGAAAAAATAAAAAAGACATTTTTTTAGATATAAAGTTGCAATTGTGTAGTAAAAAAGCAAAAAATGTTAAAATTATAAGTCCCAATTCAAATTACGAGAAAGCTGAAATTGCGAGAAATAAAGTTGTAGTTGAGATATAAAGTCGTATTTCTGAGAAAACAGTTTCAATTATGAGATATATCATCACATGTCAAGGCCAAAGTATACTTCGGTCTTTTTACGCGTACACGAGGGTTTGCGACAGTGCTCAACACAAATTTTGTCACCAGAATAGCAATAGTAGTTATTTATTTTTATTGCCATGTCAGCATCTAAGATTATTTTCATGGCAAAACCCGAGTTGGGATACATCATCAGAATAGTACAGATGTACTGTCGAGCACCATAAAATTGTTGTACTTTGCAGGTCGCACATACGCATTGACTTAGTTTTGCACTTATCGGTTGTTCTACAAGGTGGCAACATTGTCCCGGACCATTGATTCACAGTAGAAAACAAAACCAAAGAGATAGAACTACAAAATAGCGGACACTGCAACAACAACAGACGGCCACATTGACAAGCACTTGTGTGAGAGGGTTAAGAAATAGCAACTCTAGTTTAAAAGAGTACAAAGATATTTTATCGATCTAAACCTTTAAGGAAAAACACAGCAGACACTGAACAAAGATGAAGCTCTGTAGAGCGCATCCGTCAACCGCCTGTGTTCGTGTACACCTCAAATGGAGTATACTTGGCTTTAAGATAAAGATATGCAATAGAGTAACAAGATGAATGCCCCCAAAAGGATAGTAAGCAATAGCACTACATTTTGACCTTGTGGAGACATTTTTTTGATCATGAGGAAACAAGCTTATAAATCTAAAAATGCTGAAAGTTTTGTGTGAGGGGTAGGTTTAGGGATAGAAAGTACAGTTTACACAGTAATAAAAACCATTACACTTATGGAATATCCCCATAAAACATGGAAAACAAAATATCATGTAAAAACAAAAAGCTTAATTTCACTGTATAGGTGTACATCCCACCTTGCTCTCTAGCTATCAGTATCACCTTAAAATATCCATATCAATCAACCACTAGATTTGATCCCACCGCATTTGCATTATCAGCCCTGTTCCTTAGGTATTCATGCTACTATCATCCCAAAGCTTCCCATGATTCTTTTTATTACAGTATACTTAAGTTAATTTGTACATTATTATCAATGATATCAAAGAATTCATTGTACACTTCTGGCCGGGAAATTAGTACAACAACAAACCCTCCTGTAACATGCAGTAATCAGCTTTTGAAACACATGCTGTGAAATTCCCAAATGAAGCGTAAAATTATTTAGACACTTTGATTGCATGATCCCCGAACACTGGATAGGGTGTTGATGAGTGTGTGTGTGTGTGTGTGTGCGTGCAGTGGTGCACCTGTGCTTCCTAACCAATCCAGGCAAAGCAGAAAAAAAAAATCAGGCAGACAGTGCCCCAGATTTCTCCATCCCACTGCAGCATCACTGATTGAATGAAAATTCAGTGTAAAAATGACACAGCATAAGATTTACCTTGAATTCAGAGAAAATGCTCTAGGTTTGCCTAGACATTTTTTCAACACCTTCAAAACACTACACTCCAACCAAGTTACCACTTAAGCAGTTACGATTCTCATTTTCATACCTAAATCACTTTAGTCACATTCCCACAGTCTCTCAGTCAACTGTCCCCACAAAGTTGCCTGCATGTTATTCTCTTAACTTCCATTGACATTAGCAGAAGGATTCGCCTCAGAAGCAGAGAGATATTGAGTCTGGCAGCCAGCCCGTGATGCAACAGAGTGCTATTGTGCACCCGCTAATCAAAAGTCCTAAAAATGGGTCACCATTCATAACGCTGTGTTGTTACTTCTCAAACTCATTTACACAGATTGTCTGTTGTTGGATAATAGGGTTTCTGTAATCATTTGCACTTTATATTCAATATGCTACTTTTGCATCACATGAATAAATTGCATTTTAAAATAGAAAAAAATGAAAAAAGTTATTTTAAATTGAAATAATATTTCACTATATTACTGTTTTACGGTATTTTTGGTCAAATAAATGCAGCCTTGGTGAGCAGGAGTCTTCATTTCAGAAATATAAAAAATAAATAAATAAAACCTTATAGACCCCCACGCTTTTGAATTGAAGTGTATTTCCAAGATGGTTATGAACATAGAAATTACATAAAAAGACAACATTACAAAATGAATCGTAACACCATCCGTTAAATAAATAAATAAATAATGTTGTAGCTGCTGTTCTTGTTTTTCAGGACTTTGTTTGGTAACTTGTGCCAAAACATCAACCCGAAAGGCTAGAAACTAGAGGAGATTTTGTTGAAATATTAAATGGGTTTTGTCACTGCTTTTCGGGAATGTATACACAAAATCAGCTAGAGACTTCGTTAACTACTTTACAAGTCAAGTCTGGGGCAGGAGAGCATGCAAATCCTCTAAACCTCAGAGCAAAGACAAACAGGAGTGAATTATAGCATGCAGCCTGCAGACAGATCGTAGAATACCACAGAGAGTATTTAGCACACGCAACATGTTCACGACTTGTTCCTAGTTCACGTCATTACAGACCAAATGTCAAACCTTATGCAAGAAGAAATGTACAAAATAAACACATTACAGTATCACATTTCACTATAAAAGCCAAGAAAAGAACAGCAGATCTTTTATAGAATAACCAGGCATTCAGTTGTGTTCTACGACAAAAGTTGCTTGCTATGAAGAAAAACCAATTAAACATAAAAGGCTGAGATGGGTGTGAGCTACAGTTAAAAATGTTACAGTCTTTAGTATGACTGGAATGTTCATCCCAGTAAAACAGCTCATGACAATCTGGGTGATGGTATTTCTGTGTTATCATGGACTGTTCTGGGCACTGGAGATAATAACATAGAGTGCAGAGAAATTAGTCTCTATTTGACCCTCCTTCTGCTCCACTGGATCGCCATCAACTTTGACAGGAGCTGTAATTATAGGGAACATTTCACACAAACAAACACACACGACATGTGAGGAGCTCGCACTTTATGAGCATCCATCCTGATTTTGCTACAGACTTGATGATATGATCACAAAGATCAGAAATCTTTTCTAATGCAATCTGACGATAACTGTTTATACATAAGCATTTGGGTCATTTTATTCACTACTTTAGAGATTCAAGCAGGTAAAGTACTTCTGATGGGTGGAAGTGGAAGGGATGGAGCAAGTTCTGTCTGTGCTACTTTTTAAATTGCTGGTCTTTATATACACGTCGGACAGACGCCTTTGGTCATTTAGCCATATCGTTTCTTGCACCATGAAAGTTGTTTAATGTCAGTAAGATTTTTATTGTTTTTGAAATGTTATCTTATGCTCACCAAGGCTACATTTATTTGATTAAAATTACAGTAAAAACAGATATATAGTGCAATATTATTACAATTTGAAATAACAGTTTTCTATTTGAATATATCTCTTAAAATGTAATTTATTCCTGTGATGGTAAAGCTAAATTTTCAGCATCCATTGCTTCAGTCTTCAGTGTCACATGATCCTTCAGAAATCATTCTGATATGCTTATTTGCTGCTCAACATTTACTAATATTATTAATGTTGAAAACAGTTGTGCTGCTTAATATTTTTGGTGGAAACTGTGCTAAATGTTTTTCAGGATTCTTTGATGAATAGAAAGCATTTATTTGAAATAGAAATCTTTTGATCATTTTAATGCGTTCTTGTTGAAGAAAAGTTGAAATTTCTTTCAAAAAGTGATTCATACTGACCCAAAACATTTGTGTACAATAGCGTACTTTATTGACCTAATCTGAATTAAACTTTTAATTCAATGTATTGTATATAAAATATATGTGACCCTGGAGCACAAAACCAGTCTTAAGTCGCTGGGGTATATTTGTAGCAATAGCCAAAAAAAACTTTGTATGGGTAAAAATTATACATTTTTCTTTTATGCCAAAAATCATTAGGATATTAAGTAAAGATCATGTTCCAGGAAGATATTTTGTAAATAACTTACCGTAAATATATCAAAACTTAATTTTTGATTAGTAATATGCACTGCTAAGAACTTCATTTGGATAACTTTAAAGGCGATTTTCTCAGTATTTATCACCCACAGATTCCAGATTTTCAAATAGTTGTATCTCAGCCAAATATTGTCCTATCCTAACAAACCATACATCAATGGAAAGCTTATTCAGCTTTCAGAAGATTTCAAAAAATTGACCCTTATGACTGGTTTTGTGGTCCAGGGTCACATATTTAGAAAACCCAGACATACAGTACACTCTTAAAAATAAAGGTCCTTCACGATGCCATAGAAGAACCTTTTTGTCTAAATGGTTCCATAAAGAACCTTTAACATCTGAAGAACCTTTCTGTTTCACAAAAGGTTCTTTGTGGTGAAAGAAGGTTCTTCAGATTACAAAAAGGTAAGAAAGAGATGGTTCTTTAAAGAACCTTTGACTGAATGGTTCTTTGTGGAACCAAAAATGGTTCTTCTATGGCATCGCTTGAAGAACCTTTTGAAGCACCTTTATTTTTAGTGTTAATAACCAAAAGTGACATCTTCTGAAAACTAAATAAACATAAGTTGTAAAACGCTGCAAAACATAAGTACTAAGTACGGCCATGACAGCAGCAGCCTCATTCCAACGAGAGTGGACTATGATTGTTTGTCTTAGCCGTCACAGCCAAGTATGATTGTGGGTCAGGGTGCTTCACAACACTATTGTGCAAGAACACCACTCTAGTGTGGAACTTCCCTTGAAGGTCAACATCAGCTTAAGATAACTGAAATTAACTATTCTCGTGATACTGTCAGGCGTTTCCTTCAACTACAGCCTTTCTATACAGTTATAGTCTGCCACATCTCATTACATTCTGTTGTCACCACATTGTCTGTTCTAAAACATTAAGTGTCACTTCTCATACAGAAATATTCCTTCATGTGCCTGGAAAATCAAAGGATTATGAAAGAGAAGATGGAATAAAAAAATAAAAAACACCCTTCTTCAGTACAAAACACAGCTGTGCTCAGAGGACTTTTCATGTGTGAATGCATCATTCATGCAAATAAATGTGTGGTCACTGAAAATGAGAAGGGACATGGAGGGTGGAGCATGAGCCAGAAGAAACACTGTGCTTACAACTGAGAAAACACAAAATCTCAGAGTTCCTCAGATAAACAAGTGGTTAAACACATGTGACTGTAAGCAAAGACACTTTTTGAATTAAGAATGGCATGATTCCCACAATCTGCTGGGGGAAAAAAGGGAGTGTAGCATATGACAGTTAAGTTATGAATGAACCTCTGTGTGCCTGTGTGACAGAAACTCACATCATTACCCTGTATATGAGCACTGTTCCCTTTGTTTTATTACCGGACTCCCTTCTTCCACTATGTCCATATATTCATTTCCTCCCCACCTGTTGTGCAATAAAACAGGAACAATACAAACTTCCACCTTAACTTTACACATAGCAGGGGCCAGTCCTGATCCGTCATAACCCGAGGAGAAAAAGGGGCTTGTGGAGGAAATGATCAAATAGACAGGAGATCCATATTTAGAATTACACGGAAATGAATAAAAATTGCTCTGAAATGCTTTGCCATATTTTTTCAATCATTCTCCCTTTATTTTTGCCTGAAGGGGATACGTGTGGAAAGCTTCTGGACCTCAATAACTTTCACAGCACACCATCTGCATGCTGTGTAACAGGTTACTATTAATACTGCAGTTAAAAATTTTTTTGAAAATGAGATTCCCATACTGGGAAGAAAAATAATATGCTGATACATACAGTATCAGTGCTGTAGCTCATGAACTCATCTGTATCACACAGCCATAACTGATAAGAAGACTATCGAGACTCATGGTGCCAGATTTGTAGCGTATCCCAAACGTGTAGCTGCCTGTTCCGGAATTCACCCAAACTCCCTGTAGAGATTTAACACTGACTGCGGACAGACAGACAGCTCAGCTTCCCTGGGATCTGTCAGTGCACGAGCTATAAGGTCCAGCCAAAAGAAATGAACATTACCTGTTGATTTTGAGAGCGAATGCTCTCCGCTCTGACGCTGGCAGAGAAGCCATGCGAGTCTGATCTCAGTCCACGCAGAGCCGCGGAGAGCAGCACGGAGCGGGGATGATCGCTGATGCCATCGCGAGCCTCATCTTCGCGGTATCAGCGGCTTTGCTGGGCGGAAACTTCCGCATTTTAACTTCAACCCAAACAGAGTGGATTTAAACGAGGGAGGGAGAGAGAGAGAGAGAGAGAGAGAGAGAGACTAAACGATGTTATGGAGATTAACCCACACAGAGTGGATTTAAACGAGGGAGAGAGAGAGAGAGAGAGAGAGAGAGAGACTAAACGATGTTATGGAGATTAACCCACACAGAGTGGATTTAAACGAGGGAGAGAGAGAGAGAGAGAGAGAGAGAGAGACTAAACGATGTTATGGAGATTAACCCACACAGAGTGGATTTAAACGAGGGAGAGAGAGAGAGAGAGAGAGAGAGAGAGACTAAACGATGTTATGGAGATTAACCCACACAGAGTGGATTTAAACGAGGGAGAGAGAGAGAGAGAGAGAGAGAGAGAGACTAAACGATGTTATGGAGATTAACCCACACAGAGTGGATTTAAACGAGGGAGAGAGAGAGAGAGAGAGAGAGAGAGAGACTAAACGATGTTATGGAGATTAACCCACACAGAGTGGATTTAAACGAGGGAGAGAGAGAGAGAGAGAGAGAGAGAGAGACTAAACGATGTTATGGAGATTAACCCACACAGAGTGGATTTAAACGAGGGAGAGAGAGAGAGAGAGAGAGAGAGAGAGACTAAACGATGTTATGGAGATTAACCCACACAGAGTGGATTTAAACGAGGGAGAGAGAGAGAGAGAGAGAGAGAGAGAGACTAAACGATGTTATGGAGATTAACCCACACAGAGTGGATTTAAACGAGGGAGAGAGAGAGAGAGAGAGAGAGAGAGAGACTAAACGATGTTATGGAGATTAACCCACACAGAGTGGATTTAAACGAGGGAGAGAGAGAGAGAGAGAGAGAGAGAGAGACTAAACGATGTTATGGAGATTAACCCACACAGAGTGGATTTAAACGAGGGAGAGAGAGAGAGAGAGAGAGAGAGAGAGACTAAACGATGTTATGGAGATTAACCCACACAGAGTGGATTTAAACGAGGGAGAGAGAGAGAGAGAGAGAGAGAGAGAGACTAAACGATGTTATGGAGATTAACCCACACAGAGTGGATTTAAACGAGGGAGAGAGAGAGAGAGAGAGAGAGAGAGAGACTAAACGATGTTATGGAGATTAACCCACACAGAGTGGATTTAAACGAGGGAGAGAGAGAGAGAGAGAGAGAGAGAGAGACTAAACGATGTTATGGAGATTAACCCACACAGAGTGGATTTAAACGAGGGAGAGAGAGAGAGAGAGAGAGAGAGAGAGACTAAACGATGTTATGGAGATTAACCCACACAGAGTGGATTTAAACGAGGGAGAGAGAGAGAGAGAGAGAGAGAGAGAGACTAAACGATGTTATGGAGATTAACCCACACAGAGTGGATTTAAACGAGGGAGAGAGAGAGAGAGAGAGAGAGAGAGAGACTAAACGATGTTATGGAGATTAACCCACACAGAGTGGATTTAAACGAGGGAGAGAGAGAGAGAGAGAGAGAGAGAGAGACTAAACGATGTTATGGAGATTAACCCACACAGAGTGGATTTAAACGAGGGAGAGAGAGAGAGAGAGAGAGAGAGAGAGACTAAACGATGTTATGGAGATTAACCCACACAGAGTGGATTTAAACGAGGGAGAGAGAGAGAGAGAGAGAGAGAGAGAGACTAAACGATGTTATGGAGATTAACCCACACAGAGTGGATTTAAACGAGGGAGAGAGAGAGAGAGAGAGAGAGAGAGAGACTAAACGATGTTATGGAGATTAACCCACACAGAGTGGATTTAAACGAGGGAGAGAGAGAGAGAGAGAGAGAGAGAGAGACTAAACGATGTTATGGAGATTAACCCACACAGAGTGGATTTAAACGAGGGAGAGAGAGAGAGAGAGAGAGAGAGAGAGACTAAACGATGTTATGGAGATTAACCCACACAGAGTGGATTTAAACGAGGGAGAGAGAGAGAGAGAGAGAGAGAGAGAGACTAAACGATGTTATGGAGATTAACCCACACAGAGTGGATTTAAACGAGGGAGAGAGAGAGAGAGAGAGAGAGAGAGAGACTAAACGATGTTATGGAGATTAACCCACACAGAGTGGATTTAAACGAGGGAGAGAGAGAGAGAGAGAGAGAGAGAGAGACTAAACGATGTTATGGAGATTAACCCACACAGAGTGGATTTAAACGAGGGAGAGAGAGAGAGAGAGAGAGAGAGAGAGACTAAACGATGTTATGGAGATTAACCCACACAGAGTGGATTTAAACGAGGGAGAGAGAGAGAGAGAGAGAGAGAGAGAGACTAAACGATGTTATGGAGATTAACCCACACAGAGTGGATTTAAACGAGGGAGAGAGAGAGAGAGAGAGAGAGAGAGAGACTAAACGATGTTATGGAGATTAACCCACACAGAGTGGATTTAAACGAGGGAGAGAGAGAGAGAGAGAGAGAGAGAGAGACTAAACGATGTTATGGAGATTAACCCACACAGAGTGGATTTAAACGAGGGAGAGAGAGAGAGAGAGAGAGAGAGAGAGACTAAACGATGTTATGGAGATTAACCCACACAGAGTGGATTTAAACGAGGGAGAGAGAGAGAGAGAGAGAGAGAGAGAGACTAAACGATGTTATGGAGATTAACCCACACAGAGTGGATTTAAACGAGGGAGAGAGAGAGAGAGAGAGAGAGAGAGAGACTAAACGATGTTATGGAGATTAACCCACACAGAGTGGATTTAAACGAGGGAGAGAGAGAGAGAGAGAGAGAGAGAGAGACTAAACGATGTTATGGAGATTAACCCACACAGAGTGGATTTAAACGAGGGAGAGAGAGAGAGAGAGAGAGAGAGAGAGACTAAACGATGTTATGGAGATTAACCCACACAGAGTGGATTTAAACGAGGGAGAGAGAGAGAGAGAGAGAGAGAGAGAGACTAAACGATGTTATGGAGATTAAGGGTGGGTTTACTTAAACAAATGGGGTTAAACGGGTGACGACAGATAACGTTAGATATAAACAAAAATACCGGTTTACGTTAAGATGCGAAAAAACAAGCCTGGATATCTTTTATCGACATATGTTTGATAAAATATGATTGCTAACATTATGTTTATGTTGTTATTGTGGTATGTGGTAAATAAGCTGCTTTCCACACTTGGTCAATTTGCTGAATGAAATGAAATCTAGTCAACAGAGTTGTGAAATAGGACAGCTGCGACCCCTGTCGGTCATGAATTGCGCTCCAACAATACTATTTTAGTATATTTTATATAACGTTACAGCATTTATTAATGATTTCTTAATATTTTGAGTTCGTTTTTATTTTATACGATACGATATTTTAAATTGTTTTAGTTTACGTTTTCATTTTTTTAAATGTGTTAAGTAAAAATAAAGTATATTATTATTATTTTTTAGAAATTATATTTTCTATATATTACAGAAAATACTGCGGGTTCTTTGTGTACATAAAGTGTTTGGTACGTGAAATGTTTGCTAGCAGGTGTTCTAGTCTATATAAATCGGGGCATATATTTTTTAATAATTGTCACCATATTTGGCTTTATGCTTTCTTTTATTTATTTATTTATTTTTGTATATTAAGTTATTAAATACAGCTTGAAATGTTAAACAGCAGGTTTAAACACGATTCACATAACTTTTCACTAGGAACTGTAACTTCAAGTCTAAGCGCAATAATTAAATAGAGCATTGGCAAAAACTGGGAAGACTGCACCAGAGAAAGATGAAGTATGTTATAGCATGTTGAAGATACATTTTGATCAAAAGTGCAGAGATTATAAATGACCTAACTGGAGACTGCAATATTGGGCTGCTACTGAGAGGTTGAGCCTGTGCTGTGCTGTCCTGTCCCGCAGGCAGTGCTCTGGAGAAGTCTTTAGCTGTCAGTCAGGCAGGAGAGCTGTATGAGGAGTGGCTGGAGCTGAGGAACGGCTGCCTGTGCTGCTCTGTGAAGTAAGGTTGTTCAGACTACTACTAAATACTAGGACAAAATAGGGCTGGGCGGCAGGCACGGCGCCAGCATTTTTTCTCTACCGGTGCTAAGGGGGGGCTAGACCAATATGTGGGGGTGCTAAGAAAATAAATGATATTGATGACGTCAGAGTTGCTTCATAAAGAAAGGGGGTAAACCGGGGCTATTAAAAATTCTGACGGAGCTATAACCCCCCTAGACCCGGTGTAGCGCCGTCACTGCTGGGCGGTATGACAGTATATATCGTTACCACGAAATAAAGTGTCTATTGTTAGAGATTTTGCTATATTGTGTATTCTGCGATATGCAAATATGTCTGCGTAACATAGTACTGCTTAAACGTTATACACCTTTTGAGTGCTAAGGAAACATGCATGAATGTGAAAATAAAGAGTGGGACGCACTTGGTAGAGTTATTAAGTGCAATAAGCAGTGAAAACGAGCTCAATGCGGTGCTCGCGCTGACTGACACCAGAGCATGTGAGCTTTTTGCATTTTAGGTAGGTTTGCTAAGATTAGATTCATATATTTAATAAAATTTAATTAATATATTACAATTAATAAAATTAAGAAGAATGTAAGAATTTCGCTCTGAAACATGATAATTGCTATTTATCAGCATGCTTAATTTTAGACAATAATCCAAGAATTTCGTTACAAACATTAAACAATTAGGCCTACCAGAGAAATTTTATGTCGGAGCGGGATCTGAGCGGGAATTGGTTCACGTTGAGCGTGAGCGGAATATTAACGGAGCGCTTGCTCGGGCAGTTAGAGCGACTGAGCGGAGCGCACGTCCATAGAGCGGAAAACGTAGCGCTTCGCTCACATGCTCTGACTGACACACAGCCGAAGCGCATGCACTGAAAGTCCCTCTCTCGACAGCATGCGATGCGAAAACAGATCTCTTTCGTGTGTTATTGTGCTTGAATGGTCAGATATGTTGTGCTTGTAATTTGCTTATTTTTTATCATTTTAATAACAAAAATAAAATTAAAAATCACTATATCGAGGTACATATCGTTATCGTGAAATAAAATTTCTCATACCGTGAAATAAGATTTTGGTCATATCGCCCACCCCTA